GAGCTGATTCCAAATCTACCTTCCATATCTGCGATAACGTTATCTGGAAGAAGTTATGAAAGGTTAAAAACGTGAAGTAACGGGGGTTTTAGTGCATAATTCGCTTCAAAATCCAACTTGGAAGTGTATGACTAGCATGATATTGAGTGTACTGATTTCAAGGAATGCTTACACTCTAAAGAAACCCAATTAAGTGTTTTGAACAACTAATTTTCGAGGTATTGCGCTGTATATTTGGCAAATTTGAACTTTTCATTGCTTATAGCTTTTACCAAAGAACTTTAGTTGCTTTTCAGCTGTTCAAAAACATTTATTTGCGTTTCTTTTGAATGCGAGCATTCCGTGAAATCAGTGCACTCAATATTATGCTAATCGTTGACTCCCAAGTTGGATTTTAAAGCAAATTATGCATCAAAACCCCCGTTACTTCACATATATAACCTTTCATAACTTCTTCCAGATAACGTTGTCGCAGATATGGAAGGTAGATTTGGAATCAGCTCATCAAGACGCATCTAATGGTATGCGGTTTATTTCAATTCGCCACCTTAAGTTGGGATCGTTCCCTTGTAAGATCCGCTAGAAAAAGTGCCGGGTGAAGGGTGGGTGAGACTTTTGTAATGGGAGTGCGCAAGTAGACATCTTTTTACAATGGTGAAAAACCTGTATTTGAGCACTTCCATTATAAAAGTCTCACCCACCCTTCACCCGGCACTTTTCCTAGCGGACCCTAAGCAAGGTATACATTTTCTGAAAGCGGAAGACGAGAGGGTTCCAACGGTGAACATCTCGCCGTAAAAGATGTTCATCTACAAAAGCTATGATTTTTTTACGTTAAAAACTCGAAAATGTGTAGAAATTACTATTTACACCCGTCACCAAGCACTTTTTTCAACAGACTTAAGGCAAACTGTATATACCCTAAAGCGGATGACTAGATGGTTTTAAAAACATTTCCCTTGCTGACGTTGCTGCTCATCTACAGAAACTACGAATTTCTTCTTTTAAAAAATTCGTAAGTGCTTAAAAAATTGTCTAACTCTTTCCAAAACAAATGTTCTCGCATGCACATCTTCTATGGTAATTCCAAAAACAGGCAAGGTGATGTAAAAAAAGGAAAAGGAAATGTAAAAAAATACAAGGTACTGGTCAGAAATATCTGTGTGCTAATCCAGCAGCACATCGGTTCACATTTCAAAAAAAAAGACAACCAGGCGAAGTGTTGGCAAGGAATTGAAAATTATAAACTTTGACTAGGAAAAATAATGAGGGAACACCATGGCTCCTCCCCCGACCTTCACTTTCTCTAGCAAGTGAAACACCCTTTACCCTGGAGGGGCTGCGACCTGACCCCCTTCACCCTGGAGAAGTTATTCTCACCTTATCGCACCTGTGCTCCTAAGGGCTCAATCATACCTGGTCTAATCTTAGGAAAAAAATTCGAATTTTTCTTCTAATTTTTTGATTTTCCAAATTGCTGCAAATTGTTTACAGTCTCCCCGTAGGCACATATTCTGTAAGCAAGGTTTGGCGTATGCAGATGAGCTTACAAGAGTAATGCTCTTACGCACTCAATTTCTACACGCAATAGATTTGCAGACATCTGCAAATTGCCAGATCGCTTATGGCCGCCTTTTTGGAGAAATTGCGCATGGTGTGCTCGAGGCCAAATACGACAACTGTTATGACTCCATTCCATGCCGTCATATTGCAGGTTGTAGTAGTTCTCCTACTCGACTAGTGGTAAATAACTACCACAACCGAGATGCAAGATTATCTGCGTGCAATAAACTCGTAACAGTTGTCTTGTTGGAAGAATCGCGATGCGATGAAGTTGCGTTGTATATGCCCGGACATCAATAAGAATCTGAGCGTTGCATAAACGAATACCTCATGCGAAGCTTCTTTTTCTCAAAGTCCAATCCCTCGCGTTTGAAATAATGAAGTTCAAGAAGTGTGTTGCCCACCGAATTTAGTGCACTTCAGAGGAGGAGGAGGAGGAAAAGATTTTGCCGCCATACCTGCAGGACATAATTTAAAAAGCGAGCACTGTGGGATTGATTCGGCAAGGATCCAAATAAACTTGGAAAAGAAAATAGAGAGAATTGTAAGAAAACAAACTCGCATAACTCTACAGAAAACGCGGAAGAAACGTGAGATCCAAACTAGGATTTCCTTTTATGGCTTTAAAATAATTAAAAAAAGAACCACAATTTTACTTTTTAAGGACGATTTTACACAGCAAATTTAGAATCAGTACTTTATCAGGTCTCGAATTGTCAGTTACAAAATGGAAACGGTACCTATTGAACAAATAAAAATTGTGGCTAGCATTCAAAGAATTCAAACTTATTTATTTATTTATTGAATGCATAAAAAGTGCACCCAACTCAAAGGTTGGATAGTTTTAGATTTTTTGAAATCCAACCTGAGGATCCGGTAGCAGGGGTATTCGTAAACAAAAACATTCGAATTCTGTATCAAACAGGCATAAGGGACCCGTCTTCAAGCTATTTTGCTATGTACTACCTCATGTCATTCTGGAAGCGAAGTCAATACTCGAATTTAATATTGCTTGGAGGATATAAATGATAGTTTTATCTTTCAAATTGGAACCTGGTCAGTTCTCCGCAGTGCTTGCGCCTATAATTATATTCTGCGGACACATGCGGCTAACTCTGGTTCCTTCTGCCTTTGGAAAGAGGGGTTTAATTTCTCTGACAGCTCAAATGATTTGGACCCAGGGCGCACCAAAAACTTGATCCTGTGGTAGAGGGACTTTAAACAGTTTCTTAAGTCGCAGTATGCTTTCTGGTCAGTTATGCTGCTTGACCCCTCTGTACCTGTCAGAATTTTCGTCCAAATTACACCTTACCCTGGAGTCCGCACAGCTTGAGCCTCAAATCTCAGCTTCTGCAGCCGCAAATTCTACAATGAAGTGAGCACATAGTACGTACAAGTTTGTATGATTGTGCGAGCTAGGAAATTTCTGAGATCTCGAGCATCTTTTCGAGCATGCAGGCGTTACCCGCAAAAATGAATGTGCACACCAAAGCCCTCATAGCACTTGCTTTCTAGCTCAAGAGTTTCCAAATTAGCTTTGCGAAAAATCACAAAATCATAGCACGGATACACCATTGCGCAATCAAAGCACTCTTTAAAGAAACAGAAGCCGAAATTTGAGGTTTTGATGCTAATGGAAAGGTAAGGTTGCCCGCACCGTTTTGAACGGCGGGAGTTGGAGAATTTCGACCGTTCTCAACGGTTTTTCTTTCAGATTTTTCTCATTTTGGTTTTATTCCTCCTCCCGCTCCCCTTTTTGATCAGCAGAACTTCGAACTCGATGCGGGTGAAGAATGAGCGCTTTTCTGCTCCATGTAACCGGAAAGATGGGCGGTCGTGCGATTGTCATTCTGTCTTCGTAATTTTCGCTCAAAACTATTTGTTCCAGGAAGCAGCTGCGTAGATTCCATAGCTATCTGCCACGAATTAGGGAGCAGGAGCAATTCTGAATCTGCATGAATTGAGACTTGCCTCTTGTTTTCGATGATTTTGGCGTTATCAGCCTCTTTCATTCTTTCGTCGCTTCTTCTTTTTTATTCTACCCCGTTCCTCCTTGTAATAAGAAAAGCTGCGAACTTCGGGGTTGAGGATTAAACACTCCATTCCGGGAAAATGGCCTTCGTGTGCTCATCCATTCTCTCATCTCTACTTTTGTTCAGACCTACTTTATGTGTTCTAGCAAGTCGCTGCGTAGTCTCCATCTGTATTGAAATTGACATGAACGAGTCTTTAGGACACACGAAGTAGTCCTGAACAAAAATGGCAGAGAAGATGGACGAGCGCACAAAGGTCCATCTTCCCAGATACAAGAAGCAGAACAGCGTTTAGTCCTCAGCCCTGCTTCGAGTTCGCAGCTTTTCTTATTAGAAGAAGAAGCTAGGTAGGAGAAAGGACGGAGATGCAACGATATGGAAAAAAGGGGATGAAAAAGCCCAAGAACATAAAACTTATCAGAAAATAGAAGAAAACTCCCAATTGCATTCTCAAAATTAATCGACCGATGGCTGTGGAAACTACGCAGCGGCTTCCTGGAAAATAGGAGTTCTCAGCAAAAATAACGAAAAGAGAATGACAATCGCAAGACCGCCCATCTTTCCGGATACATAGAGCAGAAAAGCGCTTATTCCTCAGCCCCGCTTCGAATCCGAAGTTTTGCTGATCAAAAAGGAAGCGGGGTGGAGGACTAAGGGCAAAATGAGAGAAATCGGAAAGAAAAACCATTGAGAACGGTCAAAATTCTCCAACTCCCACAGTTCAAAAACGGTGCGGAGCGGCGGCAGCGCATGCAGCACAGTTTTGGAACTGTTCCCGCACAGTTCCAGCACAGTGCGAAAACTGTGCGGGAACAGTTCCAGAACATAGGAATCAGTATAAACCCAGCCTTAAGCAGCACATCTGGAAAAAGTTATTATGTCTTAAGACCTGTTAGAAGCTGTTTGAAGCCCTTAGACCACATGAAACAGACGCTTTGAGCTCAATGAATTTAAAAGCATTTTGTGTTATTTAATCGTAAAAAAAGTAAAACTCCTCTGTGTGAAGTGCACTGGTTCGGCGTTTACCACATTTCTCGAGCTTTGTTACGTAACTTTACAAAAAATTTTAAACGTCAAAGGCCACAGCTTTAAGTAAAAAAGTAGCGTTACTTCAGGTGTTCGTAGAAAAATTCATTCCTAAGTTAACGAAACTTCTACACTTCTTCTACACTACGAATCTCGTACTGCTTATGCCGTTTTTGGCTATGCTTTTACCTAACACCAACGGTTTTGGGTCTCTGCCGAGATGTTAATATGAAACACTTTACTTTGGTGTCTTTTTTATATTTTCTGCGAGATAGGAGGGATGGATGACATTGTAACTGTTCTCCATCGCAGTTGCGATCAGAAACACAGTGCACATCATTGGATGCGCCTTGTTGAAAGATCCCAAAATTGACTTACAATTAGAGGCAGTGTCTCGGCAGAATTTTCGTTTTCCAGTTTCCTCGTTTTCTTTTCGGAGCCTTCTCGCCATGAAGAACCCATATCTGGGCTTTTCAGAGCATGAAAATTTCGAAAATAAGCTTTCCGAAGCCTTTTAGGTCTGCATTTAGTGAAGATCTAGTCCTGTGAGGGAAGCGAGGCGGGACTTCTGTCTTCCGCTCTCCGCATCTGTCGTTCCGGGCCCCGCCCACTTGCACCCATTCTCTAGCGAAGCGGAGATAAGCTTTAAAATAAACTCATTTTCGCCATTTTCATGGGCTGAATGCTTAGATATGGGTTCCCTATGGCGAAAAGGCTCCGAAAAGGTGAAAATCTGCAGAACAAAATTCTGCCGAGACTATCTTTCAAGACAGTGTTTCGGCGAGATTTGATTCTTCGGTTTTCACCTTATCGGAGCCTTCTCGCCATGCTGAAACCACACCTGGGCTTTGCAGCGCTTAAAAATGGCAAAAATGAGCCTTTACAAAGTGTCTATGTGTCTGCATTTGATGCAAAATACGTTTATGTGGGCGGGGTCGTTGGCAAAATCCGGAAGACTTCCTTAGCGGATTTTGGGCTTTCTAAAGGCGCCTTTTTACCCTATTCAGTGATAGCCTAGTTTGAGGGTCTACCACAGCAACATTCTCGACAAACATCATCTTTCCGGACGCTGCCTTTGAGTACACGCTAAGCGGCTCTAGAAGAAGTTACTGGCGTCTCATGTCTGAATGGCAGACATTCAGTGTCTTCAGCTACAAAATTTGATGGTTTGAAAGCACCTGTTTACGAATGACGGTCCCGGGGGGCTTACCCCGCTCCATCCCCGAGAATGGGTCGCGGGATTTTTGAAATTTACTTACATGGGTTATAGAAACGTGCAAATGACTACGTACACTGCTGTTTACGTTTCATATACGTTTCATATCCTTGTAATCAGTCACCACTATGCCAATCAACGCATAATGCATCAAAACTCTGATAATTCTATGCTACCGCTCATAAAGTTTTGCAGTGCATCGCTCAGCAGATACACAGATAATCGCCGGGGGCGAATGTTGGCCGCACGGTCCTTAGTGAAGGACCGCACAACCCGTAGGTACATTCCGTTGAAAGAAAATTCTCCAAACCTCGGGTAATTGAACCACCGTGACACTTCTGAAATGTAGAGTGTTAAGTTTGTGCTCGATGTACGCCCGAAACTGCGACAAGAGTAGAGCGCTCGCTGAAAGAAATTATTTGGCGACCGCTTGCAGAAAATGCTGTTTTGCTCTCCGCCTGCGACATGCGTCATAAAGCACATACCGCTTGTTGAAAGTTTGGCAATGCCCCAAAATTCTGCTGACCGCTTGCAAGAAAGCGTGAGTTTGCGGGTTGCCTGCCCTCGGTGATTCACTGAATATGGAAGACAGATTTGGAATGAGCTTATTAAAGCGCATTTGATGATATGCATTTCATTCCAGTGCAATTTGAGATCAGCTACGAGCGTTGGGCGTTGCGTCGCTTCTAACAAATAAGCTCCGACCGTCCCTGGCGGGAAATTTGAGCCCAACAAGCTGCTCCTGCAAGTAATCTACTTGTTAAACACAGTGATATTATGGAAAGCACTGGTAAGGCAGCGCCATTGGGGACAGGGTTTGAAGGGCGATCTAGGCTGCCGAAAACGAGGCGGACAATGATGACAATCTGTACTTACAACCTACGGACGCTCGCATCGGGCGCATCCATCGAAGATCTCTTGATGCAAGCAAAAAAAAGATCAGATACGACGTCATCGGACTGATTGAGACAAGGAGACACCACCCGCTAAACGCCAGGTTTGATACTGGAGAAGAACTCTTTTCAAGAACATGCGATAGCAAGCGAGTCGGCGATGTAGGAGTCCTTGTCAATACAAGTTTGACCGCGAGCATCGATTCATTCAAACAACTCACAACCTGGATCGGACATTTACGGATATCACGATGTCGATCAATCCCAGCCTTACGGTATTTATAGCGTAAGCCCCTGCTTAGGTGCGATAGGTGGAGAAACCTCTCTAACTCCTTCACTTTAGGGCCGGCATCTGGCTGACTCCTTTTCATCTGAGGTTGAGATTAGCAAGGAAAACGGCAGAAACAAACAAACGTTACAATGACAATTTTTGTTCGAAAAGAAAACGCCAGCTGCCCTTCTTCTCAGACATCAAGACTCCTGCAAGAGATTATCGAATCAACAGCATTTCGTTGAAAAAACGCATGCTGAAAAACTTCTGCGCTCAAAGTGGCGTTGTTAACGAAACATAATCAAAAATTAGAAGGATGTCTGAATCTTTGAACAATCGCTATCCAAGTTTTTTCACTCAAACCTATATATTATTAGAAAGTCCACAAAAAAGGGACTCGACTTGAATCGTCACTTTTTTCTAGCTCCCTCTACCTAGAGATAAATGGCATTTTAGTTAGAATGTGTTTTTGTCAAGAATTTCCTGCGCGAAGAATGAATGAAGGTGCCTGATTGTTCAACAGTATCACAGAACAAGACCTTGCCATCACACGTAACCGTCTCTTTTTTTCTATCCTTGTCCCTTTCTTCAAAAATGAAGCACAAAATAATAATATACAAAATCAGCTGGTGAGTTGTCGTATAGAATTGCTCGTGTCCCGATTCAAAGAGAAGCTATAAAAAAGAGACGGTCTGCCTCGATTCTCCAGGATCTCAGCTTTCGAATGGTATAAAACTTGTTAGAGCTTTTTTGCTTCCCGGCTCTAAAGAGCACTTGCTCCTGTGACCGATAAAAGCCAATACATTGAGGGAGTTGAGTCCAGCAAGCTGATAGTAGATATGTCACCCCATTTTTAAAACTGACAAGTTTTTCGCCCAGCAGTCTATAAACCATTCGAAAGCTCAGGAAAAGGGATTCGACGTAGACCATCGACTTCTTTCTAGCCCCCCACTACCGAGAGATACTCTGCATTTTATCTGAAATCATGTCCATTTTCACCAGCAGATTTCTGCCAAACAAAGACCTAATCACTGCTGGTTATCTATCTATGTAGCAGAGCAGGTCTTTATTAACAAACATAAACCGTCGACTTTTTCGTAGCGCTCATTTGGAGAGCAGAAAGCGAGGACACAAAATCAGTCGATATAAAAAGTACATAAAATGCCTCATATCTCGCGGCACAGAAGACCTAGAAAAGAGTCGCGGTCTAGGTCGAATTTAGATGACCTCAGCTTTCGAAAGGTATGTAAGTTGTTGGGGCATTTTGCTTTCAGGGCTCACTTACCCCCTTCACCTTACAAGGATGTGGGTCCTGAGCATAGTTGCGATAGGGGGAGCCGGGCTCTCTCTAGGTGAAGAGGTCTCTGCTACTTCCACCTTACAAGGATGGAAGTAGCAGAGACCCCTTCACCTACAGAAAGCCAGGCTCCCCCTATCGCACCTATGTTCAGGACCCACGGACTACAGCGGAAAACAAGGGGAGAGACTTTCTGAGTTCACCATGACGACGAGGACCATTCATGGTAACTCGCAGTTTCAAAAGGCCCTTCCCGACGTGGGCTGGGAATCGCCCGATGGAGAGTACCATACCGAGATTGATTACATCATCGTCAACTGAAGGTGTTTCCTGACGGATGTCGCCGATGTTCCGAATTTCTACACAGGATCGGACCATTGTCTCCTTTGTGCCAAGTTCTACTTTTTACGGAATGAAGAAAGAGCCGTTGAGTTTAAGACTTTACGTCTTATGACTTATTAACTGGAATCTGTTTTATTCCATATCCGGCTTTTGGCAACATTCTATGATCAAAAACATCGACGAGGAATACGAAAGGCTTGTCCAGCATTTCCACGATTGTGCTAAGAAAGCTGAGAACCCAAGAAGTACGAGAAAGCATCTTCTCAACGAAGATCTAGAGCTAACGCCAACGTGGACGGCAGAGAAGCGATAGAAGATCTCAAAGACAAAAAGGACAAGTAGTGGTTTACGTCGCGGAAGCCGAAAGAAGTATACGCAACGCCTGCCAAGCGTCGTCAATTTCAAGACCAAGATGACCGCACTTCACCGCTCTGATGGAATCACAACCTCTTCCCGAAAGTCGATGGAGAAACCCATCCGCGAATTCTTCGGGCTTTGCGAGCACGTCCACCTAGCACCATGCCGTCTCGAGAAAGACGGATACGTTTCGCCATCATTTTTCCTTCAGAGGTTTCGACATGCTATCATATCAGTGAAAAGCCGTACGGCAGCCGGGTTCGACAGGATCAAACCGGAACACCTGAAGAATCTTTCACCAGTGCTTATCAGAACTCTGGCAAGACTCTTCACGCGTAGCTGACGGAGGAAACGATTCCAAGTCAAAGGAAGACGAGCAAGACCATGTTGCTGCTAAGAAAGGAGACCCCATGATATCGAAAATTATCGACTTACTTGCTTATTGTCTACAATTTACAAACCCTTCACACGAGTACTTCTTAACAAACGGAAGAAAATTAGGCGAAAGACAACCATGCGAGCAAGCTGGGTTCCGGAAAGGATTTAGCACCATGGACCACATACACACGATAACAAGGCTCATTATCGCGAGTACAGGATGCCGCTTTGCTCACCTTCACCGACTTGAAGAAGGTTTTTGATTCGGTTGAGACTGAGACTGTCATCGACGCCTTGAGCAGTCAAGGTATTCCAACTGTTACATCAAGATTCGTGAGCTGTACCACGACTTCACAACCAAGATCGCACCATCACCATCGACGTGAAGAGAGAAGTACTACAAGGCAATACCATATCGCCAAAACTTCCAGCGCTGCTCTCGAAAACGTTATGCGGACACTAGAGTGGGACGACATGGGTGTGACAGTCGAAGGCCAGCAACTACACCACCTTCGCTTTGCTCATGATTTAGTCCTGATTACACCAGACATCACGCAAGCGGAACGCTGATTCAATTTGACGACGTGTGTGGGAAGATCGGTCTAAAGCTAAGTCTGACGAAGACGATGTTCATGAAAAACGAATTGGTTTCTGACCATTTTTCACGATAAATGGAATGACGATCGCCGAATGCTCTAGCTACGTCTACCTAGGTCGGAAAGTCA